TCAAAGATTGCAGGTATTGATGTTTGTGATTGATATTGAGGAGTTATTGATGTTGTTTGGGTTGTAGTACATGGTTCAGGTAAAGAGAAACCAATGAAGAATCTGCAGTAAAATCTATAATGATTTCATATTCTTGCAAAGTAGGTAAATCAATGATACGGAAATAGGCATACTAATACACATTTTATCAGTGCCACCAAGAAGTTCTTAGGGGAATTAATAATATACCAGGTATGTCCTCATGTGTTTGTTATGTTGTGCTCAATGTTTATTAATAAATCCAATATTAGAATGAAGAACTCCTGAAGGCCAAGTCAGTGCCCCACGCATTATATTGTGAAAAAGAGTTTGTATTTATATTTATTATTATCCCAATCAACAATAAAATTGTATAAGACATTATTAACCAAACTCTTTGTCATTGAAGATGGTTTGTAATAATCATCCACACACTGGGTATTAAGAAAGACCAAGTAAAGGTTGCAGTGAGCAGGGAAAACAACAAAATAATCACAGTAATGGGCATTGTGCCTCCTCCCCCCTATTACTATCTAATTATATTTGCTACATATTATAATCATATGTATGTTCTCAAATGTTGCTGGTGTTGTCATTGCTAATTATAATGTTAATGATGATAATGTTGTTGTTGCTACTGTTGTTGTATTTGTTGCCAAAAGCAAGCTTACTCACCAGTTCAAGCAGTGAAGTCTGCTCTGGTTCAGACAGCCAACCAGCAGCCTCATAGATTGTCATGTTCTCTTTAAGAAACAGGTGTTGGGAGGCAGAGTTTTGGAAAGTGCTGGAATGATTGTCAGTAATATCTTTTTGATTAAATACAGCAGCAACTGGACTGTTAATATCTGAAAATCATCATCTGATACATATAATTCATTGAATAAAGATAATCTTGATGAATAGATATAATAATAAAAAGAACTAGATCTTGGATGGAGGAGTTGGCAGGTTTAGGTTGTATATAGTAATAGTGTAGGATATGTTGATGGAATGTAGTGGAGTTATCCTGACATCTCTGTGTCACTGTCTGGAGGGGGGATTGCATTGGCCATGGCTTTGTCATCCCCTGTGAAAGGTGATCCAGAGTAATTAAAAATGCTTTGGTTGAGGGTTTGTTCTTGGCATTGTAATTGTAGATATTCTGCTGCTGCTATGTCTAATGTAAGGGAATTGCCTGAGTGGGGGTGATCATTTGTAATGATCCTCTGTGAGAATTGACTTGAGAGGAGTACCCATGGGTTTGAGGTTTGGGAGGGGTTGGTGAGTCTGGTGTGACAATGGGATGCATAAGACATGTATGGTGAGGATTGATGCATAGGTGTGTAGAACTGTTGTGATGCAGAAGCTGCAGGGGTATTATTGGAGTTAGTTGGTGTTATGCTACTCTTACTGGAAGAGGCAGTTGGTGTGATTGTTTGTTGATCCACAATCTTAGGGGTTTTGTTTGTGCTGTTACTGATTGATTTCTTCAGGGTCTCAGTCATCATCTTTTTTGGTGGGAAAGTGGGGCAGACATTGGAGAAGTGATCAGCATATTTACAAGAGAGACAGGATGGAGGTGTGCCCCCCCCAGTTTGTAAGGACTGTAGTACCTTCATATTCCCAAGTGACTGGGGCTTTCAAGGCATTGTCTTCAGGTGGGATTTGGACAATTAGGTCCCAACAGTGGGTTAGGATTTCAGTTTGTAAGTGTAGGGGGTGTTGGTTTTAACATGGCAAACTGGGCCCAATGGTTGGTGATGTCAGCTTCCAGCTTTTTCCTAGGGAAATGGAGAGGGACATTGGCCAGCTTAATTCATAGGGTTCTGGGGGTGACCTCTTTGGGGGGAGGGGGTGATAAGTTTGTCATCAATAGTGATACCTCAGTGAGGAGGGTTTTGGTCATGGGTGGTTCTTTAAGGGTGATTTCAAGGAAATTAGTTTCTTGATGGAAGGCAATGCCATTGATCTGATCTTTGAGCACTTCAAAAAGCTGCTCTTCAGTGATGGGCAAGCTGTGAAGGTCAAAAAAGAGTGAGTTTTGCAGGTCAGTCTTGGGGACTTCCCTTTTGGAGACATAGGCATCAAATTTTAGTTTACATTCAGTATTTGAAAAAGCAAAGGGAGAGAATTTTTTGTTGTTGGGGCCTTGTTTAAGTTTTGGGAAGAAGAGGCTGGTGCCTTTTGTTTGTTTTTATTAGTGGACATAATTAACAATTGATAACCTTTTAAGACTCTCTTGATGGAAGGTTTCTATCTTTTACTGCAGAATTTTTTTGGTTATGGAGCAAAAAGGGGAAAGAGTGTCCTATAAAATCATGATTGATGATAATAATTATGATAATATTTCTATGTTCAACATTATTGTGCAAATCTTTGAATAAATTTCCTGATCTACATGAATTTCATTCTCTTCAAATGCAGACAAATCAAGTTTTTCTCAGCTGAAGGCAACATAATAATAAGCTCAATTGATAAGGATACATGGGGTAGGATTAGCTTTTGTGTCTTATGTACAGTGAGTGCAAGTGCATTTTGGAGAGAAAATTGGGTATGCACCATGTGAACGCGATGGGCCTATCCAGAGGGTTCTTCTCAGCATCGCTTCAGTGATGGGCTCCATGTGACTAGCGTCATAAACTAAAGCATAATAGCCGTCTATGCCATAGCTTTCAACGTTTATCACGGTCTAGACGAATATTTTCCCGAAAA